TGGGACTATAGTTTTAAACATAATCACAACCACCACTAAAAGGCTAACTGATCATTTTTCTCACATCCGTTGCTAGATTTTGATGTATATACATTGACTTGCTGTGCTGATCTACATCGGAACAGTTCACATGTAAGTCATTGGCTATGAGACACTTTGGGACATCGTGGAGCTATTAATTAAAAACATATGGGTACAAGCTTCTACTTTTTTGCTGAATGCTTTCATTATCAGTGTAAGATGTCCCTAGAACAGATATTACGCTAGAGAACAAAACTGGCAGCTTGTGCAAGAATTGAATCCACACTGTTGGCATCGCTCTGCATCACAAACCAGCTGTCCAGTCAACTGAGCTAAACTGAATCCCTGATTTTCTGAAGAAGGGTCCAGACCTGAAACGTCAGCTTTCCTGCTCCTCTGATGTTGCTTGGCCTGCTGCGTTCATCCAGCTCTACACCTTGTTATCTCAGATTCTCCAGCATCTGCAGTTCCTACTATCTCTAAACTGAATCCCCCACCACTCTGGCATATTTTAACTGCCAGGACCATTTCATTACCATTGCAGGTTTAACAAACGAGCACAGGATGATGATATCTTACCACATACACTTCATTTTCATGTTCTCCTTGTCATTGACCCTCATAAACAACAATATATATAAACAAATGGCAATTTATTACTGTCTTAGTAATAGTCCTCTATGATACCCTATCACAAACTATTCAAAATCTCTTGTCTTCGTCCATAAATTTAAGGCTATCTACATGTACAAACACTTTTTTTTTCTGAAAATACCAGTTAACAATTCATGAAGCCTCTGGACAAAACTAACTCTCGTGATCCATAAGAGTGGCCCAATACTTAAAATTTGCATATATTATTTGATCTCTTATCCAATTACAGAGCCATGAGGCACTAACAGAAAAAAAAGTGCAAATATAATGTCTTCTCTTTGCCAAATATCATTTTCCAATTTTGCTCAGTTTACTGGCATTGTTTACTTCTACTGTTTTTTCAATGGCTCCGTGGACATTAGAAATGCCTAGGGCAAGATTTTCAGGTTGGTCTCCTGTCCCATCACCTGAAAGGACAGCAGATTTTGCTGAAAGCAGAACTTCCACGCCTTGCTCATGCAGAAGGCCCAGCTCAGACACCCGTTAGTCAGTCCAGTCAGTGACTCTGTAGTCCCCGCTGTGTACCTGCGTCAGCAGTTCTGAGGAAGGGTCACCGGACCCGAAACGTTAACTCTGTTTTTTTCCTTCACAGATGCTGCCAGACCTGCTGAGCTTTTCCAGCAACTTCTGTTTTTGTTCCTGATTCATGGCATCCGCAGTTCTGTTGGTTTTCATTCAGCAGTGACCAGGTCTGGAAACTGCATGCGATCCCCAACTTCTAAGGCCAGGAGCAGGTATGTCAAGTTAATTCCAAAAGTGGCTCAGTACAGGAGACAAAGGATAATGACTGACAGATGTTTCTGTGAATGGGAAGGTGTTTCCATTGGTGTTCCGCAAATTTTGGCTTTGGGTCTCTTTGGCTTTGGTATATGGAAATAAATTTGCAAGGCCTGATTGGGAAATTTGCAGACAAACACACAAATTGGAGGTGTCGTTGGCATTGAAGAGGATAACTGTCAACCGCAGGATGATACCAACAGTCTGATTGAGTGGGTGGAAAAGTGGCAAATAGTATTCAATCTGGCGAAGTGTGAGATAATTCATTTGGGGAGAGCAAACAAAGCGAGGAATACACAACAATACGGGAGACTATTAAGGAAGGTAGAGAAAGTGTGACACCTTCAAGTGCTTGTTCACATGATCCAGAAGGTGGCAGGGCAGGTAGACAAGGTGGAAAGAAAGCATATGATATGTCTTCCTTCTTTGGGCGTGAGGTATCGAAATACAAATATGATGAGTAAACTATGTAAGGCACTGGCTTGGCCACACCTGGAGTTTTGTGCCCAGTATCTGGATACCACACGACAGGATAGATATAATTGTTCTGGAGAGAGAACAGAAATTTACAAGAATGTTGCCAGGGTTTGGAAATTGCAGCTATGAGTAAGAATTGGCTAGGGTATGGTTGTTTTCCTTCAAACAGAAGAGGTCAAGGGGTGACATAAAGAGTGAAAATAATGAGGGGCTCACCTTGAGTGGAAAGAAATGACTTGTTTAACTTCATGGAGTGGCCACAACCATGGAGCACAGATTAATGGCGGTTAGTCAGAAGGATTAGAGGGAAGTATGATGAAAAAATAGTGTTGGGTGCCTGGAATTTGCTATCCAGCTCATTGGAGCCAGAAAAACCAAAACTCATTTAAGAAGATCTTGTGTCTGTACCAAAGCATTGTAACCTGCAGGGTTATGAGCCAAGTGCTGGTAAGTGGGATTAAAATGGGCAGATCAATCCTCAGTCTCTTTTCTGTGTCACCCTTTGTGAAGTGGACATTGTCCCAAAGCAAATGATTATCAACATAGCATTCTCTAGGCACATTTTTCTTAATTGGCCCTTGTATAGAATTCCCTCAAAAATACACAGTCAAATCTACCTCTTCTACTAGTCCAAGTCTCTGCAGCTAAGATGCCTTTAATTATTTTTAATTGTTTTTCTATTCCAAAACTAATGGACATAGAACATAGAACATTACGGCGCAGTACAGGCCCTTCGGCCCTCGATGTTGCGCCGACCTGTGAAACCAATCTGAAGCCATCTAACCTACACTATTCCATTATCATCCATATGAACATTTGTCATTTCTTCCCAGTAGAAATATAATGAATCCTGGTGTATTTGAAGGACCATTGGGGTGATTAGCATGTGAGGAGTCAATAGAACTGATTAATTTAATTCCTTGTGAGTCACTCCCACGTTGTTATTCAGAGTGTACACTGTATTAAACTTTGTCTTCTGCACTTCTCCAACAATCTCATATTTCAACATGGTGATTGATTCTAATCATAGTATCTGATTTGGTTTGCATGTATTACCAGTTTAATTGATCTGTTAAGCTCCTCAATTCGTCTGCTTCTTCCTTAATTCTCGTCTTCCTTTAGAGAGGATCTGATCCGATTTTTTGGGACCTATTTACATTCACTAGGTAAGACTGTTGATTCAGAGTTATCGCCAATTTCATCGTTTAATATCTAATCCAATTATTTAAAAGCTCCTGAAAACTTACAGTTTTAATTTTGCTGTAAGTTCACTTGTGACAATGTTTTTAAATTCCCTACATCCGTCCCACTTCCCTTTTGAGCTGAACTTTGCAAAATGCAGCCTTCAAGGACACCGTTCTCAAGTATTTGCTGCTCACAAGGCCTTCAAAGTTTCTTTTCCTGAGATAGGTAGTTTTATTCTTCTAACTTCGTCCCCCAGATTTTGTTTAGAACCTTTTGCCACGGGCCTGGCTTGAGTATTTTTAAAACAACTTATCACACTGGTCATAGGTTTTGCATTCAGTAAACAGGAACCATCCCCAAAGCATGTACATTTTTATTCAACCATCCTTTGCAGGCAATCTTTTACAGGAGAAACTGAATACTTTCAGACAGAATCCAAGCATACACTTTCTAGAACCATAAGATCCCTACAGTGTGGAAGCAGGCCATTCATCCCATCAAGTCCACACTGACCCTCAAAAGAGAATCCCACCCAGACTCATCCTATCCCTGTATGCCTCATTTCCCATGGCTAATCCACCTTGACTGCACATTCCTAGACACTATGGGCAACTTAGCATGACCAATCCACCATAACCTGCACATCTTTGGACTGTGGGAGGAAATTGGAGCACCTGAAATAAACAAACACAGACATGAAATAACATGCAAACTGCACACAGACAATAGCCTGTGGCTGGAATTGAACCAAGGTCCCTGCCTCTGTGAGGCAGCAGTGCTAACCACTGAGTCATCTCGAGTCTTAGAACATAGAACATAGAACAATACAGCCCACGATGTTGTGTCAACCTATTATCCTACTAAGATCAAACTACCCTGCATACCCTACATTTTACTATCCTCCATGTGCCTATCCAAGAGTCTCTTAAAAGTCTCCAAAGTGTCTGACTCCACTACCACTGCCGGCAGCGCATTCCACACGCCCACCACTCTCTGTGTGAAGAACCTACCTCTGACATCTCCCCCATACCTTCCTCCAATCACCTTAAAATTATGCTTTTTCGTAATAGTCATTTCCACCCTGGCAAAAGGTCTCTGACTATCCACTCTATCTGTGCCTCTCATCATCTTGTACACCTCTATCAAGTCACCCCTCGTCCTTCTTCGCTCCAATGAAAAAGCCCTAGCTCCCTCAACCTTTCCTCATAAGACCTGCCCCCCAGTCCAGGCAGCATCCTGGTAAATCTCCTCTGCACCCTTCTGTGAAGCTTCCAGTTTTATTTCAGATAACACAATCCCTCCCCCAACTTGCTGGTTGACTACTTCTTATGTATTTTAATACAAACAACTATTTAGTTCACAATACCTATTTACTTGTTACCTTTAACTCCTAGGTGTTTAGTATCCTATTGGTAGTATTAGACATTAACAACTATGGTGCTCTTATTGTTCTCAATCAGACTTTAATACAACAGCCGAATGCATCATATTTTTTCTTCTCCTTTACTTACAAAAAGAACACATAAAGATATCTACTTAAGGCAAAAATTTAGATCAATGCTTCAAATTTGTTAGAGTTATATATGAACCTGACTACAATTTTTCACCATGTGAAAGGCTTCCCTTCGCAACAAGACTGGCCAATATTTTTAAAAAATTGGTCAGGGAAGAAACAGGATAAACTGACTCTTCCGAGTACACAAGTCAACTAAAAAAACCACTTACATTTTCTGGACATTTTCTGCCTGTATATTTTATAACATTAATTTTGCTTATACTTTTGAATGACAGCCTATTAAGGCTGGCAATAGAAGAAAAATCCTTGCACTTAAGCTTTAAAATCTTTCGATGTCGGTAGCATGCTGACTTATAATAGGAATTCTTACAGTTTTTTCACTGGCACAGGAGCATCATGAGTGATTTCTTCATATGTTTCCTCTTGCACTTCTGGATCAGCGCAAAAAGGTGCAGATTGTTTCCATGTCTCCTTCCAATCTTCCTCTGCTTTCAGCAATATATCTTCAATACATTCAGATGCTGCAACGTCTAACAATGACAAAGGCATCAGTCATTCCAGGTAATTTCACTCATCACATGGGTTCTCTGGAGATTACATTCCAATTAGCACTATGAACAGAATTATTGAATCGTTGCTGTACAGTGGGAGACCATTCAGCCACTTCAGGTCTGTGATGGATCTATGAACAAGAAATTCACGCAATGGTCCTTCTTCCAAGGGCCCTTTACATTATTCCTTTTCAGGTAATAATTTAAATCGCTCTTGAATACCTCAACTGAACCTGCTTCCTACTCATGCTCAGCCAGTACAGCCAAAAGATAACCAATCACTGCATAAAAAGCTTTTTACCCCTCATGTCATCATTGCTTCTTTTAATTCTTAGCTGCCTGATTCTCAATCCTCTCACCAAGAGGAAAAGTGCTTTCTTATCTATTCTCTCTCCAGACCCTTCCTGAATTTGACTAGCTGTCAAATCTTCTCTCAACCTTCTCTTCTCCCAGGAAAACAGGCCCAGCTTCTCCAATCTATCGAGACACCTGACATTCCACATCCCTGGAATCTTCCACATGGATCTTTTCTGCTTTCTCTAATGCCTTCGCATCCTTCCTAATGTGTGATACTCAAAACGGGATGCGATCTCTAGCAGCTGCCTAACCAGTGATTTTTATAAGTATAGCATTACTTTTATACTTAAAAAAACAAAAAAACTTATGCTGGTATTGAAAATGCCTGCGATATTGCACTCTTGGCAATACATGGCACAGGTGGCACAATGGTTAGTACTGCTGCCTCACAGCACCAGGGACCCGGGTTTGATTCCACCCTTGGGCGACTGCCTGTGAGGAGTTTGCACATTCTCCCTGTGTCGGTGTGGGTTTCCTCCAGGTGTTCCAGTTACCTCCCACAGTCCAAAGATGTGCAGGTTAGGTGGATTGGCCATGGGAAATTGCCCCATAGTGTTCAGGGAGGTGTAGATGAGGTCGGTTATAGGGGGATGGGTCTGGGTGGGATGCTCTGAGGGTCAGTGTGGACTTGTTGGGCTGAAGGGCCTGTTTCCACACTGTAGGGATTCTATGATTCACAAATTAATATTTAAGGACGATCTGGGAAATGGTGAAAGTTTTCAGGTTAATTGGACATTCTCTGCATGAAAAACATTTTACTGTTTGAATTCTTGGAAAGCAAAGTTAACAGTTCAATACAAGCTGTAAGCCACCTGCTTTCAAAAAAAAATTCACCAGTGGAACATGGGAATCACTGCCTGGTGGAACATGGGAATCACTGCCTGGCCCAGTATTTATTGTCTGTCCCTAGTTGCTCTTGAGAAGGTGCTGGTGAGCTGCCTTTTGAGCCGCTGCAGTCAATGTGCTGTAGTGACCCACAATGCCCTGGGGGGGGGGGGGTGGCGGTGGAATTCCTGAATTCTGACCCAGCAAAAATGAAAGAACTGTGATATATTTCCAAGTCAACATGGTGAGTGGCTTGAAGAGGAACTTACAAGTATTCGTGTTCCCATATATCTGCTGCCCTTGTCTTTCTAGATGGAAGGAGTTATATGTTTAGAAGGTGCTAATGAAAAGTCTTTGGCAAATTCCAGCTGTGCATTTTGTAGGTAGCACACAGTGCTGCTCCTGGACACCTGGTGGAGTAATGAATGTTTGTGGATGCGTGGCCAGTCGAGTGAGCTGATTTGTCCTGGACGGTGTCAAGCATCTTGAGTGACGTTGCACTCATCCAGGCAATTGCGGATTATTCCATTACACTCCTGACTTGTGCTATCTAGATTTTGGGCAGCTAGGAGATGAGTTACTTAGAAGTAGTATTCCCAGCTTCTAAACTGCATTTGCAGCCACTGTAGTTACATTTTGAGCCCAGTTCGTCTTCTGGTCGATGGTAATCTTGGGATGTTGACCGTGGGAGATTCAGTGATGGTAACACCATTGAGTGTCAAGAGGCAGTAGCTGAGTTGTTTCTTATAGGAGATGCCATTGCCATATGGTAAGAATACTATTTTCCAGTTTTCAGTCCAAGTGGCAAGTAACATTCACACGACACAAATGCCAGGCAATGATCATCTCCAATAAGAGACAATCTAACTACTGCCCATTGACGTTCAATGTTGTTTTTACTGAAAATCAAGTGACATTGGAGAACCAGTTAAGCAAAGCTTTAAGAGAGATAAAGGATGAGTTCTATTGTCTTAGTAACTGATAGAAAACTGTCCTTAAGTGGTCTAGGGGCTCCAATGCTTATGGTTACCTATTAACCTTCACTAGACCTAGAGTTCTGTTTTACAGATCCAGGAGACAAAGTCAGGATGATAGCCTAGAATCCATGGGACTCTATCCTGAAATCCTGTTCTCAGCAGAGGTTTCTGGGAACCCGGTATAGCTTCTGTCTCCATGGTAAAACCTGAAAAGCTGGACTGTGACCATGTTCCAGAGACATAAGTCCAAATTGATTGGAAACAGAACTGGACATCTACCATCAACCCATGGCTGTGCGCTATTCAGCTTCAATCATAAGAAAAAGTGGATCTGAGAAATCATCAGATTTTTTTCCCTTTGGTTTCAGACCCTTGACCCAAGGGATTATGTTTTTCTCTTCTGCCTTTTTCCAAAAAAACGCTCACCCCTGCAGAGATTTGTCTTTTTGGGCTGCAAGAGTGCTTTTGAGTGGTTTAAGGGGATATATATTATCAAATCAGATCAAACGTTAGGTGTTAACCAGACTTTAATCAATTGCATAAAAGGAGTAGCAGCCAGGACTCTCCCGTCTGAGAATCCAAACTGATTTTTTTGGCAGGATGGTGTTGCAGTTTGAGGTGAAGGTCTGGGCCAGTGGCGGTGAAAGCAGGACTCAGGTCCTGGTGCATGGTGTCAGGTCCAGCGCAGGCCTGAGGTGGTGGTGGTGGGTCAGGGCTAACAGCAACAGCAATACCAGTCGCACTCATGCCTGACTGTACCAATAGGAGTGCGAGGCAGTACCTTATGGGTGATCTCTGAAGACCCTCCCAGTTCTAGTTGAATTGGTGTTGTGGGAGGAGGTTTTGGGGGAGGTGGTGGGTGAGGGTCTAGCAGGCCTGCAGGGAAGTCAGGATGAGGTCCAGTGGACCAGAGTGGTGTGGGATGTCCACTGTGTTTGAGGGAGTGATAGGGACAGGAGGAAACAGCCAGTCTGAGATGATGATTTGGGCTGACATCTCTAATAGTGTTGACACCATCTGCATGTTGGACATTGACAAGTACCCAGCCCTTCAGCTATTTCAGCTATGTCAGTATCCCCATCCTCTCTCAGCACTGATAGGCCTCCTGCACCCATCATTAACACTCCTCCAGAACCGCTTACCCTGCTTCTCCTGTCTCAGACGATCTGCTATATCCCAACTCCTGTACTTTCTTCAGCAACATTCCTGTTTCCCCCACTCTACGCACACCCTCCCCAAACTCCTCAAGCCAAGTGTCCCTTATTCTTTACCCACAGAGATGGATACCCTGGTGATGGGCTTGGTTTCTGAAGTAACAAAAGGATCCTGTTCACTCTTCCCCAGCCCCTGACAAAGAAAAAAATCAGGCCTTTGCATCTGTTTTCACAAGATAAAGGATCAGCAGAAACTTTAATTAAGAAGATATAGAGTGAAGCACTGGGTGGAAAAGGGAAATAATAATGTATTTAATATCCTCAAAATCATCAGGTCCAAATGAATGATATACCAGGCTGCTGAGGGATTCAAGAGAAGAAATAATGGATGCTCTGGCTATCATTTTCATGGATCTGGAGTATTGGAGGAGTACTAAAGTTGTACCATTATTTCACAAGTTTTAGCCAACCCTGCTGCTAATAAATTATTGGAAGGATGGCTGAGAGATAGTGTAGATTGACAGAGACAGGAATTAATCAAGGACACAGTCAGCACAGATTTGTTAAAGGAAGCAAATGTCAAAATCACCTGATTTTTTTTTTGAGGTTGTGTGGTTTTAGTGAGGTAGCACATTTGATGTAGGGAACACAGATTTTAGTAAGGCTTTAGGCAAGGTATAAATGACAGACTGATCATAATATTAAGAGCTTGTGGGAGTTATGGGAAAATGGTAAGCTGGATCTACAATTGGCACAGTAGCAGGATGCAGAAGTTTATGATCAGTGGGCTTTTTGCAACCATTTTGATTTGATGAGTTGTTCCTGGTGAGCAAGAAATCTGTAGACTTCAGAAAGACAAGAATGAACTGGTCATGTGTGCAGAAAAATGGCAAATGGACATGAATTCAGAAAATTGTAACATAATGTATTAAGGGAAGACAAAAGAAAGCAGGGGAAGAAACAATAAATGATGGGATTCTGAGAAGTCTAGAGGAACAGAAGGATTATGGAGAATGTATATACATACCTCTGAAAGTAACAGGCTGATGGATAATGCCATCAGGCTAGCAAAGTAACTTTGCTTTGTCGGCTAAGGTCTAGAGTATAAGGAAGGGAGGTAGTCCATTAGTACACTGGTTAGACCATGGCTAGAGCTCTATACATTTATGGTTCGGTCATTACAGGAAGGATGAGATCACACTATAGTGGACACGTAAGTGCTTTGTGAGAAGGTTGCCAGGAATACAGAATTTTGGCTGATTAAAGGTTGAATAGGCTGGCATTGTTACCTTTGGAAAAGAGACAGAGTGGAGATTTAATTGAAGTGCATAAAATTATGAAGTTAGAATGCATTCAAAAGACCTATTTCAGTTAGCAGAGAGGTCAATGAACAGGGGCATAGAGTTAAGGCAATAGGCAGAAGTTTAAAGGGGTGTTGCACTTATTTTTCCTCATCTAGAGAATGATGGGGCTCTGGAAGTCACTGCCTAAAAGTTGGTAGAGGTGGAAACATTTATTGTATTTTAAAAGAACCTTGGTCTTAAACTTCAGGTGCCATAACTTACATGGTTAATGACCAAGAGCTCAGAAAGTGGGACGATGTTGAACAGCTGTTATGAACACTCTGGGGCAAATGCCAATATTCTGCACCGTAAACCTTTCTCTATTTATAAATGCAACCACAGCGTATGCACAATGCAACATCTGACTGACGAAATGTGCCTACAAGCTGTACTCAAAAAGCCCCAGCATGGGGCCCCTGTAACTTCTTCCCTGTCTTGCAAGCACCTTTTTGTGGAGATTGTTGGACCTTTGGTTGTGACCTTCATCCATCCCATACATTCTAATCTGGGCTCTATGTTCACTTAATATGTCAAGCAATAGAAACATTAACTGTAATCAAACCATGAATGATGTGACTAGCCACTGAAGGAGAGGTGGATATATTTTGTACTGGAACACCACTACTTGTCTGGTCTGGAGTCTGTGTAATAATACACACCTACTTGTGCGTACATTTGGTCATCTTACCCAAAACCATCTTACATAGCTCGGTGCCTTTATGTTTCTGGAGACTATTGTTCCTGTAAAATGCCTTGGGATATTTCATTATATGAACAATTCTACATAAACATAAGTAGTTGTCATTGTGTGTGGGAAGTACTGGTTTGCCTGGCGTGTAGCTATATATGTATATATATGTATGTGAGACATATTTGTGTGTGAGATTTGTGGAACAAAGCAATGAGAAATAAAGCAGTTTACATTTTATTGAGAGGTGGAAAAATGATCCTAGCTCAGTTATCATCTAGACCAATTTGGTTTTACATACCTGAGGGCTTCTCCTCATTACAGTTAAGGAGATTAGGATTTGCATGATGCTTCAGAAGCAATTTCACAATGGCAATCTGCGGAGGAAGCGAAAACATTTTCTCATTTTAATGATCATCCTCATGTATTTATTTATTCATTACATCCATCAGATGTTGGAATGGGAATAAAGCACGTGTTGATCTATTTTTTAATTAAAAATACCGAATAGGCAATTCAGTTCCTCAAGTCTATTCAACTGGATCATGTCCTAACTCAATTCATTCACCCTTACTTCAAATCCCTCTATATCCTCAGTGAACAAAAATCTATGATGTGGAGATGCCGGCAATGGACTGGAGTAGAGAAAGTTTGAAGTCACACGACACCAGGTTATAGTCCGACAGGTTTATTTGAAACCACAAGCTTTCAGAGCGCGAGTCCTTCCTCACCTGTCATGTGACTTCAAACAAAAATCTAGCAATTTCAATCCCACACAGCCTATCATCCATAGCTCTTGGAGATTCTATGGTATTTTCTGTGAAAATGTGCTTCCTGATTTCACTCCTGAATGCTGCTGATCTAACTTGAAGGCTCTTCCACCAGAGCAAACAGTTCTCTGTATCTATCTTATTGAGTTTCATAATCATTTAAAATATTTTGGTTAGTTTACCCCTTAACCTTCTGAAGTAAAAACAAAACTAAACCATGCTTATTATGCAATCTGTCCTTGCACTTGAACGCTACATCCCTGCTGTCAATCTTCATCTGCATGGTGCCCCCTCCAGTGTTGAGTTATTAGTGGCGCTGAACTCAAGTAGATCTCCAGCCTGAAGAATACAAGCTAACAAATGCCACCCTCATGAAATACTTAAATATTTACGATGTATCATGAATATCTCAGTTCAGAAGTTATCTCACTATGAACAAGCACTGATAAAATTGACTCAAAAATTCACATTCACATTGTCTTGGACCAATTGACTGCTGCTTTCTGATGTTCAGATTTAAATGCATGTTTGGTTGCTGGCTGTTCCTATCCTATTTATTTTTCCATTGCAGTAAGCCTCAGCATTTTTTATAATTGCAAACACCAGGTTATTGTGTCTCGGGAGAATTTAAAGTAGATTTTAATCTTACCAGGACATGCAAATCTGTATTCCTGGCATGAAATGTTCTCCTCGAGGAGCAACAGAGATTAAAACACCTCTGAATATGAATTTTAAAATATCTTTAATAGGATTAAAAAGAATATATAAGAAAGAATGCATTTATGTAACGCTTTTCAACATCCTCAGAATATTCTGAAGTGTTTTACATTCAATGAAATACTTTTCACATGCAGTCACTGCTATTTGGAGGCAAACATGCCAGGCAATTTCAGTACAGCAAGATCTCACAATTGCAATAAAATATATGATCTGTGTTATTGGCTGAGGGATAGATGTTGGCCAGGACACCAAGGGTCTTGCAGGCTTTTCTGAAAGTTCCATTGTATTGTAATGTAGGCATGACCAGGGGTGGTTTAACATTTCATCCAAAAGGCAGTATTACCATCAATGCAATCAGAATTGCATCTACAAAACAAAGAAAATCACTTCAGTGTGACCATGTTTCACTGTATCATACAATGATTATTTTATAGTCTGGATCAATAAACAATGTTTTGAGAGCACAATTTGATGTATAAATCTAACATGCAATTTTGAATAATCGGCTGAAGATCATCAATCAATTTAACACATCATTAGTTCTTCATTGCAGTCCACGCTGGGGATCAATGACAAGAAATGTGTTAGCTAATGATAGGACTATACGCTGCAAAAGTTACCATTACTGTTTAATGATTGGGGTAGAATGCTGGCCCAATTCTCATTACCAGTTACTTTTAATCAACCTGTTTAGATAAATTATGGCACACCTCTGGGGCATATGGGACTTGAACCTGGACATTCTAGCTCAACAGCAGGGACACTACAACTGTGCCACAGGAGCCTCATTTCTATGCTTCTAAACCAAACAAAATTGTGTGAAGCAGCTCCTGATGGGGCATTGGAAATTAACAGTCATCAGAAATTTGGACGAGGAAACAAGAGCTTATTAAACTGAATTGACATTGTGATGTGATAAACAGTCCTCATTTCTAGACGAAATCAAAAGGCTTCTTTGATTAAGAGTTTTAGACAATGAACAATGTGTGAGTCTCAATGACAAAAAAGAACTTTTCTTGACAAAACACCATTTAATTTTACCTTTTGCTACAAGATGCAAGTTATATTAGTCAGTAAGCTACATTGGCCTAAATATTCCTGTCAGGGTCAGAAACCTGATTTTTGATCTCAATGAGATTAAGAATATCCACTTATACCTCTCCAGCTTTATGCCAGAGATCCCAGGAGATGGACTTACTGTTTCAAATCTGCCCAAGAATCCAGGATCCAGCAGCGAAGAAAATCAGCAAACAAAACCATATCTCAATTTGCAGCAGTCAACGCAGCGTGTTCTGAGAACTACATGTTCAGCAGCACAGTCAGACATTTTGACAGCTCCTGTGGAAGAGTGGGATTAATGTGCCAGGTGGGTAGTGTGCTTGTTAGGTAACATGCCAGGTGGGTATCATGCCTGGTGGGTAGTGTGCCTTTGGGTGCATAAGATGCCAGGTTGCTATGTAATTGAACAAGGGCCAAAGGTAGGTTTGGGGGTCAAAGATTTTCAGCTCTGGTTGTGCGTGTTGGGGCGTTGAGGGTGTTGGGATCAAGTCTGAAAGGCGGCGGGGGGGTGTCAGGTCAGGGGTGAAGCAGAGCACTCTGAGTCAGCCTGGTGAAGGGAGGGACAGTCAGATCTACGGTGGGGAGGTCAGATTCTGGAGGAGGGGTGACAAGGTTTCAATTAAGGATTTTTTTTTGTGCCCAGGGATTATCAGACCAGCAAAGGTGAGAGGGATGTCGCTTCCCATGCAATGGTGAAACAGTGATTTACCTGCACTTCACTCAATCTAGTCTACTGTATTCACTTCTCACAATGTGGTCTCCTCTACATTGGGGAATTGAACGCTGACTGGGCTATCATTTTGCAGAACACCTATGTTCTCTCTGCAAAAATGACCCTGAGCTTTCAATTGCCTGCCATTTAAATACACCATTGTGTTTCCTGGCCAACTTCTCTGTGTCAGGCTTGCTACAGTGCTCCAGTGAAGCTCAGTGTAAGCTGGAAGAAGAGTACCTCATTTTCCACTTGGTAACTCTGCATACTTCTGGACTCAATATCAAGATCAACAATATTACAGCCTGAGCACCTCCTCCCTTCTCCTTAATCCAGGCCTCCTTAAACCACCACAATCCAGGCCCTTTTACCACATGGATTGCTACCACAAACCACCCATTAACAGCCACAAATGGTCCCCATTAGTAGCTATTCATTCTCCCATTTTGACACTGACCCATTCCTTTGTCTGGTCAACTGTTTTTCTCTCAATCTGGGCTCCATCTCCACTTATCTTTTACTCCTTCACCCTCAGCCCTTTTCTAGCAATCTTTTCCTACTACTATCAGTTCTGAAGAAGGGTTATTTGGCCCAAAATGTTAATTCCGCTTTCTCTCCACACATCTCACAGACCTGTTGAACTTTTCCACAATTTCTGATTTTGCTGGCTGGTCACTAGGGTGGACTGGTTACTGGTGGATATCAGGTTTGGTGTAAGGATTAAGGTGTTGCTTTGGGGTTTTGATAAGGAATGTTAGGTGTAGAGGGTGGAGGGAGCAGTTTACATCTGGGGAGGGTGGTAGGGTGGAGTGTTAATTCGAGTTGTGGACTTGTCTGGTCTAAGATGAGGGTTGTGGTGTCTGACAGGGGTATGAGAGTGTACAGGGATAATTAAAAGTTCTTAAGTGGGTACAACATATCCACATAAGATCCTCAACCAGCTGCTGCTAGGATTTAATCAGAGTGAGGAGATATCTACTCAACCAGCTGAGGAGGCTGTTGTGCTGGTTGGTGTGAGTGGGTGTGGTGGGACCTCTGTAAAGGAGGCACATTGGATGATCCTCCAAGATGTTACCTCCTCCAGGTATCATTTCCCTTACTGCTTCTCGAGCCTAGTCCCACTAAACTATCTCAAGAGTCAGCCCAAAACCCAGCAAGACCCTCAAACAAATGCACACACTTTGATCCAATGCTGCATGACTCCCTTCCAAATGCTGGGGTGGTGCCAGCCTTTGCTGGGGTGGCAGCTCCCTGTGGTGGAACTTCCTGTCCGTGCTAGAGTGGAAATCCCACCTCCAGTCCACCTAAAGGCAACTGTTGCTTAAACAGCTGATGTTAAGCACAGTGGGCCCTGGAACTTCCAGCAAAAGGAATGCAGGCCTGGGAATCTGGTGCACTCTCTCATTCAGCCTGTAGAAAGGCATATCCCAATGAATGGAATGTTGGTTAATGTTCATGGCACGATTTGTTTCTTTTAATGATCCGTGGCATGGCACAACCACAAGAAAGTAAATGGACCAAAAATGGAATTAGACCAATCCATTAATTGAATGCACCAAATGTGATGAGAATATGGATACATAATAGAGACCTCAATGGCTCAATTCTATTTAGGAGTAAATGACATCTGCCAAACATTAAAAATTATGGCCTCAGATTTCATGATATTTTCTTAGTCTTTTCAATTGTCATTGGAATCAACCCAAATGTCAATTACTTTTTAAAAACTGAAAGAACTGTTGTATTTATGTTATGCTGGAAATCATAAACAAAAACAGAAATTGCTGGAAAAGCTCAGTAGGTCTGGCAGCATCTGTGGAGAGAAATCAGAGTTAACGTTTCAGGCCCAATGACACTTCCTCTGAGGACAGGTCCTGAAACTGGACCTGAAACATAAATTCCTTTTTATTCTCCATTGAGTCTTCCTGTGCCTTCCATCTAAGGGATTCTTGTGGTACAGTGGTAGTGCTTCTACCTCTATACCAGGAGGCTAGGGTTCAAGTTCCACCTGCTCCAGAGGAGTGTAATAACATCTTTGAACAGGTTGATTCGAAAATACCTGTTTCTGTCTTCCCTTCAAAAAAAAAATTCAAAATAATGATTTTAGTCAGTACTCCAAATTTTTCATTTTCTGCTATCGCATGGGTTTTGTATCTACACATCTTTGCAGTGCCTTGAGATATCTTTCATGAAGTGAACAATATACTGACATTTCATGCACAGTTTTTAACATAAATACAACAGGATCAAGGAGATATAATTTTCTTTGGGAATGCACCAATATAGAACTTTGAAATAACTAATATGTGACTTAAGTCGCAAATGGTTTGCTTTATTTCATATTATTGTACATACTACGTGGAACTTTTGACAAATCTATGACTATACTTATAACTGTCATAGAAGATAGCTCCTTCCCTTTATATCCCCTCTCACACTGATACTGTGTAGAGATAAAAAAAGCAGTATGCCAGGGGCAAGGTGAGAGCAATTGCTTTTGATATTGAAGCAGCATTCGCCCCAGCGCAGACCCTTCACTGAAATAAATTCAATAACGATCAGTGGCCAAAGTCAAACCATAGTCACAGAGATGTACAACTCGTCCATGCCGACCAGTTATCCTCAATTAATCTCGTCTCATTTGCCAGCATTTGGCCCATATCCCTCTAAACCCTTCCTATTCATATACCCATCCAGATGCCTTTTAAATGGTCTAATTGTACCAGCCTCTACTACTTCCTGTGGCAGCTCATAACTTACATACACCAGCCACTGCATGAAAAAGTTGCCCCTTAGGTCCCTTTTAAATCTTTCTCCTCTCACCTTAAACCTATGCCCTCTAGTTTTGGACTCCCCTAGCCTGGGGAAAAGACCTTGGCTATTCACCCTATCCATGCCCCTCATGATTTTATAAACCTCTATAAGATCGCACCTCAGCTTCTGCCATTTCAGAGAAAATAGCCCCACCCATTTTGTCACTCCCTATAGCTCAAACCCTCCAACCCTGGCAACATCCTTGTACATTTTTTCTGAACCTTTTCAGGTTTAACAACATCTTTCCTATAGGAGGAGGACGAGAATTGCACATAGTATTCTAAAAGTGGCCTAACCAATGTCCTGTACAGTTGCAACAAACCTCCTAAATCCTATACTCAATGCACTGACCAATGAAGGCAAGTGTACCAAGCGCTTTCTTCACTGTCTACCTCTAACTCTACTTTCAAGGAACTATGAAGCTGAACTCCAAGATGGCTCTGTTCAGCAACACTCACCAGAACCTTACCATTAAGTGCATAAGTTCTACCCTTATTTGCCATACCAAAATGCAGCACCTGACATTTATCTGAATTAAACTTCATCTGTCACTCCTCGACAAACAGAAAGAAAGATGCTAGTGGTCTTTGAAGTCAATTATCTCAGTCCCAAGACATTACTGCAGGAGTTATGATTTATAACTGTACTACCTGAGATGTTGTCACAAGCAGATTCAGCTATGAATATCTCCCCTCTATCTCTGCTCTAATACATCTATGGCAGCTTTTCTACTCTCAGATTTGACAACTTCAAAGGTCTTCTGTATGACCTCCCAATGTTCTGCCCATATTCTGACTCAAATCAAGTCCTATCCTCACCCATCAATGACTCGATTTTAGTTTTTTTTGCTCGTTTTCAAATTCTTCATGGTTTCCTCTCTCCCAATATCCATAACGTCATCCATCCTTATAATAATTGAAAAACTCTGTGCTCCTCCAACTCGGACCTCTTCTGTGTCCCTACATCCTCAAACCATCATTAATTGCCAAGCTGGCTATCAGGAATTTCCTCCTTACAACTTTATCTCTTTCTGCTTTTTTGCCCTTATTTAAGATGCTGCTTCAAATCCAGATGTTTGGCCAAGTATTTGGGTAATCTCTTTGAATATGTTGGCTCAGCATCTATTTTTAAATTCAGTTTCATTGTTGTAAGTTTGTTGGGGCAGTTTATTGTATTAAAAATGTTAGTTGTATAAGTATCAACGACTTTCCAAAGGAAATTGTGTGTATACTTAAAAAGGAAACATTGTAAGACTATAAGGAAGCAGCAGGAGAGTTTGACTTATTGTATTTATCATGTTTTAAATGACATAGGTTTTGCATCCAACTGTGCTGTTCTTTGTAACAATAGAAATTAGACATGGATTTTGTGATTACTAAGTATGTTGTAGGTATTTATTATCACCCACTGATATAAGCAAATATTACATTCACAAATACATCAGTATCTCTCATCATATTAACCATTGGTTACAAATTAGTAAGTTCTATGTCAAATGATTCAAAATAAGATGGAACATGAGATTTTTATATTCTTAGGTCACATGCTATGACAATGATGTCAAGTGTACATCTCTTAAAGTTATACTATCATATTGTGTCTCTGTAAGGTATACTAGTATACTGACCATAGTGCATAACACAACAGATAAATGATTGCTGCTTTATTGTTAGCATATTTATTACGACTATTCCCTCAATTTCTTTCAACAAAAATGTGAATTATTTTGCTGATGATCAGGAGACAGAGAAAGTTTACTTGCTTTTCTAGTGAACAACAATGCTTACAAAATTTTTTTCCTATTTCTGCAGCAAGTAGCATCACAAACGCTCATTAGAAAGGCTTTAATCTGTTTGTGGGAGGCTGAAATAGGCAGAGTTAAAACATTTATTTACCTGTCCATATTTTGCAGCTAGGTGAAGTGGTGTCCAATAGCAGTTATCAGGAACATCAGTGTCAGCTTTATTCTCTAGCAGTAGGGTGGAGACATCCTTGTAGCCACTAGCACATGCCATATGTAACTAATAAAATTAATACATTAATGAGCGATATATGAAAAGCAAATAGATAAGTATGAAATTTTATACAAACACAGCAGATCAGTACATAATTATTGCTGGGAGAATGCCAAGGACTGTACTATAAATGAAATTAATTGATTTTAATCAGATGTTCCTTGGAGAATAGGCCCTTTTACTCACAATTAGTTAAAGCTCAGATTATCACATGTGCAGAAGTATATGATGAGAAACTACAACATGACTGGAGGCACTGCTGGCAGACCATTTTAGGTAGTTAGATGATTTCAAAGCTGTTGCCAACATAATCTGGAAGATCAGTTGACTCCTAAATATGAAAGAGCACAGAAATCTCATTCCCTTTTAGTTAAGACATCTCAGAGCAGACATTAAATGTCATGTAACTGGTGGGCAGTACTTTGGATTTCAAGTTTTACTACCTTAGTTATAAAATATAATACTAAATTCAAAACCGAATTGAACGTAAAATAAAAAAAAGGACGCTAAGCCACTTAAATTGAACTTACGTAGTCAGGTCATCACTTACATCACCTGTATCCACTTCTACAACATTGCTCGATGCTGCCCTTGTCTCAGCTATGCTGCCAGAGACCTCTTTCTTATCTTTATTACTTCTAGACTTGACTAAGTGCAGACCCCACTAGGTTCCCATTTTCTGCCTTTGATAAATTTGAGATAATCCAAAACTGTGGTGCCAATGTAATAATCACTCCATAGTTATTTATCTTACACCAACATGCTCATTCACCTGGGAGATAGTAAGAACTGCAAATGCTGGAATCAGAG